ACTCCGATTGTCTACTTGGCTTGAGTACGTATTTAATGAAATACCGACGACTTTGAGGCGACTTAATCCTTACTTACTATATTTTAACTAGGAAGGTGGGACCGGGCTTGAGCTGGCTATTTAGCCTGAATAGGATCCGGGCGGAAACGCGGTTATCGCTTAGAGTTATCGAGCGCTGGAACTCGCTTCCAGAAAGTATGGTCAATGAACCTATGGTCAAACGTTTCGATCGCCAATTAGACGCCCTTGGGTGACAACAGGAAACCTTTCCCTTCTGCTGACCATATCCAGTTTCCAAATTTGAATTCATATTTTGTCATTCGCCTTATTCTTTGGTGTTATCCTTCCTTTTAATAAGTTTCCTTCATCTTTTGCTTCTAGTTGCTTTCTACGTCTTCCTTACTTCACGTGACCTACACAGCGGGAATGCTAGTGCAGGGAAGATTGGTAGTAATTGGTTGACCAGGATGTGGTTCGGGTGTTTCGTTTCAGATCCAGCAAGATCTCCTAGCATCTTATCATTTCCTGGTTCAACGATCCGCTCAAGGAGAAACACTCAAGGGATTTTCCTATCGTTCCAGTCCCATCTAATGCTGAATGTGAATCTGAACAAACTGGATATGAGCGAACCTGAATGCGAATAATGGGCAACTAATAGATAGCAAATTTTTCCGTAACTGCCTAGGAAAATACCGTATTTGATCCAATCCGGATTTATTGGAAAGCTCAGAGATTGCTCTATCGAACGCAATGATACAATTGGTTAACTATCAAAAATGTAATACCTGTGTACGCCGGTACGCGGTTAACCATGTAAAAAGCATGACGGCTGGCGCTGTGATCCGTAAAATATAGTTCCTTGCAACATGGCTTAGAGAATAGAGCAAATTAGTGCAATCTGAATAAACAAAGAACAATGAATTTATACGGGTTAAGAAGCAATGCTTTACCTGTCCCGTTGAGTGGGTTTGCAGAGTTATCGAAAAACTAAACTTCAGGAGTTATTAACATTCAAAAGAGGGACTTATCGTTTATTTCGCTGTGACCCTGCAATCCGTGTAGTTGCATAGCATAAACATGTGACAACAAATAAATCCAAACTATATTCCAGGAGTGGTATGGAGATGTAGTACTAGGTAACAAAGTGTAGGTGAGTAAGTGAATCGTCCAAACGTCTTTTGAATATGCATAGTGATGGTGCAGAAATGACCGATTACGAAAGAACATTCCAGGGATGACACAAGCGGACGGAAAAGTAATTCCTGCGACAATTCGACCGTCTGTACTGTCCTACCAGTTTTAGGGAGTGACCTCCGGTTGGTATTAATGCTGAGTTGCAGTAAAGAGCGGCACACATGATATGGATCATTCAGAATTAAGTACATCATTATCAAGTCACCTCGTAAGCAGTGGTAACGTTCTCTAAACATCCCCAATCATTCCGGCTTCTCCTTGTATGGAAGATAGTGTATTCCGATAAAGTACTTTGATGCTCGACGTTGGGGGTGCTCGAATGCGCTAAGGTCGTGTTTTAGCCATGGGTGCCACGGTTTAATTGCATATCCGACATGAAGCAAACATACGCACTAGGCATCTGCCGGAAAATAGAGCGGTCTATTTGTCAGAACGCCCGTCATAATGGGCCCACATGTTGGTTATCAGTTTTGGAGACTTTCGCGATTGCCTGGAACAACCCAGGTCATCCTGAACCAGTACATTTGCATGACCTTCGGTGGCAGCTTGCAGCAACACATGCGTTCCGTACCTGTAATAGTGGTTGCTGTGGTGTCCTATTGGGATCATCTTGCAAGTACTTACAATGAATCGAAGTGAATGTTGGATGGACCACTGCTGAACCTGGTCCAGATCACTCTGAAAAAGTTGCTAATCAGTATTACCCTGTATCTCGCGCCAAATCTTGACTTCCTTGGCAAACAGCAGAAGGTTGGATGTAATTGCCTTTGTGGAGTCATTGATAAATAACAAAACAACCGGTCACCTAGCACCGAGCCTTAAGGCACGCCCCGTTCAAGTTGTACGGGGTCAGAGACGGATCTCTGAACTCTGACTACAAATTGCTACTGAAGGGCATAGTTGGTGATCCCGCTTAGAAGAGGGTCACCTATCCGTAACATTGTTGCTTGGAAAGGAGTATCCGATGATCTAGACAGTCGAATGCTTTCGAAAAATTCTGGTAGAGCACATCAACGCCTTCTCCAGCGTCAGCTGACTCGGTCCAACTACAGCGTGCTGTTAATAAATCCGTTTTGCACGATCGATTTCGACGGAAGCCGTGCTGCTGAAAAATAAGAAGTTTACAGATTTCCAATTAGCCCACCAACGCATAGGCTATGATGGATTCCATCTCCTTGGACAGTATAGTGAGAATGGAAACTGAGCGGGAGTTTGATGCTTCGGGTTAGCTTCTATCTTTGTGAATGGGTGTTATTATCCCAGGCTTCCATATGGCAGGAACGTAGTTTTGGTCTAATTAGCGCTGGAAGAACTGAGTCAGTGACTCTGCCAGTTGACTTACCGCTGCTCCCAATACTACTGGGTATATAGTATCGACGCCCTGGGGTTTGTGTTTATGTAGTGGCCAGCCTCTGCAAGACAGCTTCGGTGATAAAGGAGATGTAGTGAGTCCCGGTGGCGGGGTGATAAAAGCTGGACGATCTCCTGATGGTAATACACTTTGGAAGGTGGGGGCATATTGCAATCGCAGTTGGTTTCTACTTCCGTAGCCGTTCGTGTTGGGCCATCAGCCGTGGGCAGTGGCGGAACTCCTTGCCTCAATTTCCCTAGACAATTGACGTGCTTATACAGCAGTTTGTGATTGCCGCTTAAGGTTTTGCCAAATTCTACTGATGCCTGGCTCCATCCTCTCTGAGTAGTTGAGTTCAGTGGTTTCGCTGGGCTACGTAGTTATCCCAGCTTTCTGGGGTTGGGGATAATCTATACTCTCGCCACGCGTGGTTGGGTGCCGTCAGCACTTTTCTAGTTCTGCTCCTTCCGTAAGTAACTGTTTCAGACAGTTTGCATACCTTTGTTTCTGAAGCATCCGTAAGCAACCGGATTGAAGTTTTTTACGAACTCGAGCCAGACGACATCCGGATGGTCTTTGGCTAGGCACGACCAGGTTGTGGCACCGAAGAGGTGGGCTGATCGGTCGTAGCCTGTGATGGCTCGTGCCGTCTCATGATCCGTATCTTGCTATTCTGTATGGCAGATGAAGTTGCAACTAATAACGGTTTGATCACTGCGACCTAACGGGCAGTCGACACCCAACCCATCAATCCTATATTCTTCGTTGGTAAGCACAAGTTTCGGGTACGCAATGACATCCAACAACATATGAACCGCGCCAAATCCACCAAAGAGAATGGGCAGACAGAAGGATTCATCAGGACAAAGAAACAAGCCTTGTTGAAAGCAAAATTGGAAAGTGCGGTGGAAAAATGGCTGAAACCTTTCTAGTGAATTACCGAGTTAAGCCGAATTAATGGTTACTAACTAAGTACCTCTGTGAATTCGCTTACTCCCATGCACTCACTGCAACACCTTATGAATTCTGTCGCGAAAAACCTATACACCAGGGACATGGAGCACGAAATAATATTTTGTGGTTGGCAACTCAGATCCATCTGCCTCGCCTCAAAGGCAAAGGATCATATGATTACCAGGATTCGCCATGCGGCAGTGGTATTTTGATATCTGCTCTCCGCACTTGGACACAGGTATGGGTTCATGTGCCAATCAAGTGAAATCACTTTACATAAAGTATACCCTGATCTATTGTAGTAACCGAATTATTTTAAATGAACTGATAGACAAGTTTGATTCGAGTGGTTCTGCTGGAGTATGTACACAGTCTTTGGGACATCGCCAACGCCAAAGCTGAGAAGAAAAATTTTACGGCCATGCAAATGGATGCTCCCCGAAAAGTTATGTGAACCAAAAACAACCTTATTCTCATGAAGCTCGATATAGCTATTCGGATACGCTTATGAATGTGCGAATAACTGCAAGCTCTCCGTTTGTCCTACCTACTCAGTGACATTTGGCTTAACGATTAGTTTCCTTATCCCCGTTGCCCTTTATAATCAGATCCTACCCCTACTCTGATACCACCGTCCGCACTTTTTTTGGGTGCCTCCGATTGCTTTGTTACTTGGTCGATCCTTATGCGACTTTCTCAGTTGTGGGTTTACAGTGTCCTGCTTGATTTCGATAAGCACGCGTCTGTTAACCTTGGTGTTATACATACATTACCATTATTTATGTACATGATATCGTGCTTCTGTTTGGTAGTCACACTAGTGTTAGTGGGTGGAAGCAGTCGCATAGGCCGACACGACTGCTACACCCAATTTGGTTTAACTTCAGCAATCCGAAACTCTGACCAGTGCGCCACACTGTACGGTGTGGGCTGATAATTCAATCCTTGCTGTGTATATGGAATACGGAATACTGGTTCGAAGCAACGAGTAGAGCTTTCTCTGTGTAGCTGCATCATTCGTCGCTCTTGGACATATACTCCTTATTTGTCCTTACGCTGTCTATTTTTGCCCCTGCAAAGTGTTTGTCTAGGAGCTTCTTAAATTCGGACACTGAGTTCGACTCTACTATGTGCTGCGGCAGGTCGTTCCAGACATTCACCACTCTGCGTTCGAAACAGAGTTGGTGAGCGACCCGCTTTAACTTCGGTACGATAAGTTTATACCGGTGTCCTCGCGTGCAGCTTGGTGTGCGCAGATGAAGCAGTTGTCTCAACATGGGGTAATTACTCAGATGGCTAACAATCCCCTGCTCATTTTCAAGTAGCATAATTATTAGCCATCGAATGTCGCAGCTACACAAGGGAGTGGGATAACATAAAGTCATGAGACAAGAGCAATGGCAGTGATTTTGGCACTTTCTGTGTAATCATTGTTTCCTAATCTATTGCATTTGTCTACTTTAACTCATAGCTACAGCCATTTGCTCTCTGTGCTTTTCAGTCAAGACGCAAGCATCATGGGTCAACTTCAAAGTGTAAGTCTCACTTACTTGGTGAATGGTAAATGGTTCTTGGCACGGGTATGAGATTTCGGTACCAAGAAATGGCAAACCCTTTGTTAGTAATTAGTCATAGAGTCGAGTAACAAAGCCGCTACTCAGTATGACAACGGTCCTTTCTACAGAATAAGAGGCATTCATGCAATATGTTTAGTCCGGCTGCCAGCTATGTAAACAAAATTCATTAAGTTCATAAGGAATTGAACAAGGAGAAACATGCGGATAAAAATCCCCTCTCCGGTTCTGCCTCTATCCCAGTTGGCAACATTGCTGTTATTGAGCGGTGGTGATGACTGCTTGCTTAACAATGAATGAAGCAATCACACCAATGCTAAGACTATGCTGAATTAGCATCACGACGTATCCACAGCCGAAGTAATCTAAAGACCTGCCCATTGTCAGACGGTGGCAGCAACTTTCTTTCTTTTCAAGGAGACAAATGTCGCAGTGATTATTGCAGTAATTGCTGTAGAGAACTTGTAAACCTGAAAATAGTATCAAATTCATAGCCGTGTAACTTATATACTAGTATGAGATACAAACAGTCAGGTTCATTATAGTCCACACTGTGCAGCCCAAGCGATTCCATGGGTGACCGAGGTGATATGAGCTGGTGTTGTAGGCCACATATATACGGTGTAGTGGAAAGTCTTAGCACAACCAACTGAGTAATCTGAAAGATGGGGTTATCGAACCATGGCGTGACATTTGACAGTCCTCAGTAGTGTCGATACTGAAGCGGCTCAAGTGCCTATCTGCATTTGATAATGCGAATTTCACTTAAGAGGTGCCCGACCGTACCTGTGCCATGACATCTTTAACCCAAGGGTTTGGTCTCACGACATTCGTCCCAATGTTAAGCCCGAGAAACAAGTTAACAAATGTAATACTTCCATTAAACTTCTTTGAATTCATTGTTGAGACCTTTTACGCTGATAAGTTGACCTCTTCGATATTCACATTTTTAACCCCAAGGATTTGTGTGGTGCTACGCGAATCTACAAGGTAACCTTAGTCGGCGACTCTGGTACTGGAAAGTCAAGTATCTTGCGCCGGTTGATCGGGAGTTCGTACATATCGACCTTACCATCCACTATCGGAGCCGATTTTGGCACAAAAATAATAAACTGCGACGGTTCGCGTGTTATTATGCAGGTGTGGGATACCGCTGGTCAGGAAAGGTGAGTGCTTGTGAAGTTTGTTGCTAGTTACTAGACTCTTGTCATATTGCTACCCTCCCTTTTGAAGCTATAATGGCTTGGATCAGTACCCGTTTTATTGACAAAATGAGGTTCGCACCATTAGTACCACGCTGCTTTCTTCGATCTGAAGGAATTGCTACCTGTTCATCCAAATTGACTTCTATCGAAACTATGCAATCGCCGTTAATGTCCAGTATGTTAGTTGAGGAACCCGTTATGTTTTATGTCATTCTAGCAAAATGGCGGTGTGGGCTGTAGTGGGTAAAAATTCCAACCAACGTTATCCGGCACACGGTAGCTGATATTTCTCGAAATACCCGAAACGTATTAGATTTACTGGCTTGTTGGTTTAAGAAAGACTTATTTGCACTGAAACGTAATGTTTACCTTTATTTTCCCAATTGCGTATCCAGCGGTCTGCTGTGCCCCGAACTCTTACGCAAAAGGCTTTGGAAGACCCACCCGTCTCGGACACTGTGCATGTCCAGTTTAGCATGTAACAACAGAGTGGGTGGAAGGGTGTCAGTGAGAAGAGCTAAATGTGTTACGCGTAGCTCAGTGACTGCGTTTTGTTCGTTCAAACATGCAGGTGGTTTGAGCCGAACAATTCATAAGTGAGGACTTATGAGATGCGGGAACTGGGTATTCACTGGCTGATTTGTGTTGATCTAAAAGGAAGTATTCCCATAAGAAGCAATTGTGGGACAAGTATCGCCTTATGGTGACTGCACAGTAAATGCTGTCAGTGCACCAGAGAGCGTGGGAACCATTTGACGGAGCGTAGCGTGAAATTGGGCGGCGAAGCTGTAACACAACCTGCGAAGTGTACACTTGTATACAGGCGCGCACACACACCCAAATGTGAGTCTGCAAGCGTCCAGTAAGAAAACGCAACATACTTAATCTAATCCTGTTGAATGGCTTCTAGGCAGTGTTGGAACTGATACAAAAATGCCCATCACATTTACTTCCAGCGTACGATAACATTGATACTGCAGGCTATTCGTCTCCATTCACAATCATCATTGCATCGGAGGTGGTCTTTCTTATTTTTCTTTGAACAGATTTCGGAGTCTCACTAAGCCGTACTTCCGTTGTGCTGATGCCGCTGCGGTGGTCTTTGATGGAGTCAGTAAATCAGGCCTTTCGAGCTTGCGCGAATGGGTGCACATGGTGCGTCAGAACACGGATCCATCAATCACTCTGCTGCTACTGTGGAACAAATGTGACCTGATAATCAACGGGGATGCGCAGTTGTGTAAGCTTAGAGAGGACTTTGAAAAATTCACTCAGGTAAGTCATCGTGAACGATTGTTTGATCGAGGTCTTTGTTGCATGCAGCACCTCTCGTGTTTTAAACTCCAAATCTATGTTAGCTGTGCCTCCAAAGTTGGGCAAGCTTGTCGCAACCAAATCCCACCTCCTCCTTCAACTAGTAAATACAGCTACTGCATCGTGTAGTTCTCTGGGAGTCAAAACTAAGTCTCGGTAGGAAACCAAATCTGTCTTCCATGCAACGTGGAATAATTTAAACAGTGGAAAAATTTGACACCGTATTCGACTAGAGAGGCGTATTACTGGACATGTCCCATTACCGAAGCTTATGCCGTGCGTCTATACTCAATGGCCCGCACCCGCAATTCATCCACCGTTTTCGGGCCAATCCACTTGGCGTCGTGTAAAGTCAAGTTGGAATTAGTCATTGTGTGGTCATGCTAGTATTCGCTGTTCCTTTGGCCTTTTTGACTATTGTCCGTTGACGTGGGTGGCATTTGATCCGCTTTCCGCTCACTAATTACGCATCACATCTGTCTGTCCAGTTGATTGGTGGTCATTACCTCCCACGTCGTCAGGCAGAGTGCTTGAGAGTACACACTCTGTCCGTTGGTTGCTGCCCGGTTCAATTCCTTTCCCCACTGCTGGTAACCAAACAGTGAATGCTTCACTTTAGACTCATTCCCTTCTGCAACATAATCAATGCTTGTATAATCTCAGATAATGCAGTGGGCTTCTCGGAAACGCTAGCTACTGATACAAATAGCATACTCGTGTCAGCAACTGTAAAAATGTTTAACGGGCCGACGGTCTCCGACTACCTTCGGTGAGTTGACTGAACCTGATTTTTAAGTTCAGCATACTACAAGTAACCTACGTAAAGGTGGAGAGCCTCGGAGCTGCTCTCTCCGAAACACTGCACTTCATGACCGACCATCTCGTCCTGCCAGACTCGGTAGATAGTGGTAGCTTGAGCTGTGAGGGGATCCCAACACAGCGTTTGACGGATTTCGTCTTGTTCATCAGGTCAAAGCAAACTGTAGCCGCAATCAAGATTGCGCGTCACAATCCAGACGAACGGTGGGTAGTCCAAGATCCAATAATGAATTTCTAACCGCAGTGTCAAGCACTGCTATGAAGTTCTGACCTAGTGACCAAGGCGAATGCCGACAACCACTGTGTTGGTCTTCCCTCTCAGCTCAGACTACCTGACGAGTCCAAGTCAGGACGAAACTGGTCAGTCATGAAATGCAGTGTTGAGAGGGAGCTGCCTCGAAAGGCTCCACTTCGAATGCTATCCCAGTGATCGAAATAGCATTGGTTTTCTTCAAAGCAAACTGTAGCCTCAAACAATATTGTGTGTCGCAATCCAGACACATGGCGGGTACTCCAAGGCCCAGTAATGAACCTACGTTGATGGTATATTCATATAAACTAATTACAATCCGTCTATGTCAACATGGCAATGATGGTCGTATATTACCCTACCACGAGATCGATGTAACGAATCCCACTGATCTCGTGGGAATGTAGTTGTTAGACAAAAGAATGTGCACATTACTCCCACGAATCCATGCATTAATTCGAGTGAAGTTCCTCTTGCTTATGGTGACCAAATAAGAGGATGGGCATTAACAGGATCCTGCGATGCGTTAAAGCCACGCAGTCCCTTCAATGAGCCTGCCGTGAACTGGATCAAGGATGGATGCATTAGCATCGCGGTACAGGTGAAGATGCCTGTGTGTTTCGTATGGCGCGTAACCAGTTCATCTATTACTGACCGGGAATTTGACCTCTATCAATTTAGCATGAGAACCCGCCAGTTGCCGTAGACCACAAGTGTTTTGGTCCCAATCCGGTGGGCCTAACACTGTGTCGTCGATATCTGCACCGAATTATTTGCGGTTGTCCCTCGCAGTGGCCGTTACATGTTGCGTCCAGTCGAAGTTCACCTCATCCTCCGGCGGTTGGTGTGGTTGTGGTTGTCTGTGTTCTGTAAATGTGCAATTTCTTCCTCTCGTTAATTGCACTGAGCCAACTGTCTGAATATGTTCCGTGTTAGGGGTGGAAAGTAAATCTCTGCAATCCCGTCTAGACAGCAGCCAAAAAACCACCAGCGTAGCAGCTGTCTCTTCCATAGTCTACTGCAAAGAGATGGAAATTTTGAGCTCAGCAGGAGTAGGACAAGTGCTATGTCTTCATACTATATGCTTTTTGTGTACCAGTCCACAGTACTCAGTAGGAGTAGTGCTCATTCACTAGGCGCCACCTACCTTTCCATGGTTTAAATACTACGATTGTGCTTCAAGTCTCAGCTGTGGACCTTAAACTGTCCAAAGTCCCTGTGTCTTGACTCACTTCTTAAATGTACCAAAATAGCAAACTTCTCGAGGCGCTAGTGGACTGCTGCCCAGACCTGCAGTTTGATATCGAGTGGATGATCGATTCGTAACATAAGTACACTTACTCTCTCTTGTCCCCACTATGAGAGCTTTTGTTATGTCGCTGGAAACTTAACGGCTGTAGTGCTTCGAAGTTCGTTGCTTCATAGCATCACAATTGTGACCATTGGTGAATCGGCTGCTATAAGTATGTACAAACGTAAAGTAATTATCACAGTGTCTGTGGAATGCCATTTTCGTGCTTCAGAATTCAAATGCACTCGGATTTGAAGTGAGTGCCAAAACCGGCGTCAATCTGGAGCACGCATTTTCCGAACTCGCAAAGTGAGTTTTACATTTTCAAAAAACTCGTTTAACACGTTTTAGAGCCCTGACTAGTCTGGAAGACTCTCGCTTTCAAAGTACCATACAACCAAAAGAAAAAGACACTTTCAACCGCGGTGGATGCTGCATCTAAGATCAGCGTATCCCAAGAAACACAGTAAAACACATTCCCAGCTATGTGTTGTGTAGTTCCATTATTTCTTCGATAGCTACCTATTTTGTAACGCGGCAATTCTGGAAGACATTCCCGGGTTACATTTATTCCAAGGTTCATTCAGATTCCGTCAATAATAAGAAGAACGTTAGTAAACCCAAACTTTATTTGTTGCCATGATTTCAAACTCGATCAGTTATGATCATTCCGATTGCTCCCCATTCACTATTATTCATCCATCGTATTTGTATAGACTAGTGAATGCAGTTGTGGGGAGTAGATTTTCGAGGAAAATTCATCCCAATCACACTCGGCCCTACAACAACTGCACATCCGAAAAGCACTGCATGGGCATTTCCCGCTTAAGCAATGACTAGTACGAGTTGAGTCGCGGCAGTAGTCCCAATGGGCCAACTGAAATATACCACGCCGACGATTCCCCAAATGGATAAAAAGGATAGTCTAGGCGGATTTAATAGTTAGGACGCTTGATGTGCGATACACTGCAGGTTTGTAGTGTTATCGATGGAATTAGTATCAGGTACTTTTTGTCTTGTATTATTTGTGGAAAAGGTAACTGTATTTCGGTTTCCACAAAGCGGATCACAGCACGCACGTATGGAAGGCTAAAGGGGGTATCCCTCAACAAATGCTTGGTTGGTTTAGTGGCATTGAACAAAACAATTCTCAGCATCAATGCGTCAGTGGTGCTAGTGGTAGCAACGGAAACTATTTCGCCGGGATAGGTAACCACTGCAAGATAGATGTTTAACGCGAGATGTACCATAAGTGCCTCAAAACTGAATGGACGATATGGTGAATGCGGCTGCTTAAAGCTGCATGAGGCCAGTATTTGTCAATCCTTTTCCCCTAGGGGGACGGTTATTTTTAGCGCTTTCCATTGACTGGTGTTCAATAGCACAATAGGCTCAGCCAAAGCCTCAGCGATTGTAAGGAAGGAATACCTAATCCTCGAGCTAATTAAATTGTAGGCCATTACAATCCGAGGAGGACTGTCCGGGAGCTGTCGACAGCAAGTGCAGTAAACATGCATATCAGACAGCCATCTGAATATCCAGTGAATATGGTCATTTTCATATTAAACACCACCGTCAGTAGCGGGTATATTTGCTTTGTATGCAATGAGACGATTGAGCTAGGACTCGAAGTGATAGAGAGTAATGTGGTCAATTGGCACAAATCAACATAAATGACGAACTGTCGGTTACCCATGGGATAAACTAGCTGCTATAATCAATTTGCGGTTTTGTTTTACAACCGACGGCAGTTGAGTACGAAGTGTAATGCTGTCTCACTAGTTAAACTAGTAAGTGCACTGTCCAGACGGAGTTGAAAAATGCTGGGCACCAAAATAGCTTTGGTAGGATCAAGCAAAGTAGAGTGTCTGGCACATGCCTCCGCCTGACGCCACTATAAGGCAACACAACTACGCCGAATGCTACACTAATAAAGTTGCACCTGCAAACACCGCCAATAAGCCAAATCGACCAAGTGTTCCCGAACACCTAACTTCCAGCCCATATATAACCATTTCCCCCAAACCCACTTCCTCCCACCAGACATCGCCGAAACCTAGGAGACATGCAAATACCAGTGGCAAATGGGCCGTTGTTGCATCAAATTGCACTCCAAAATCAGTCGTTGTTGTTTCTATAACCACACCTATAACTAATGTGAAAGGTAACGCTGCACGGATGCAAAGCAAATCGCTGGGTCTCCCAATTACGGTCCACACTCCCAAGAAAGTCACTCAGAAACAATTGGATACCCTAAATATAATATGTACCAAGGTTCCTGAGTCAACATCGAATTCTTTGAAGAGCAAACATATGGATGACCTGAACCAATGGAATGCCGTAAGTAAGCTCCTCGCTATACTGAATAAACCCTCCAACTTGACGAGGATCACCAGCCACCTGCATTCCAAACATTATGGCGAAGTTAGGTTTCTTCGGATTATGCTAAACTCTGTCGATCAGATGGAAGCGGTGTTGCTTTCGACTGCCTGTTTTCAGGACGAAATCGGTCTGGTCCGCATCTTTCCAGACGTTCCCAGGAGCAAGAGCAAGCGAGTGAGGCAGAGCTTAGAAGAGTTCCGGCTAAACGCCGCAGCCAGAACCGTACTTGTCTACTGCGTCCCCAATCTCACAAGCAAGATGAATTCAAAGTATAGGCACACGACCAGGAGCATTGGCGCTAAATTCGTGAGACCCTGCTCTTGAATGACTTTGTTGCTACTTCTCTCTCACGACTATCATCAAAAAGCTACAACGGGTGCAGCCAAGGCATAATTAAGGTTGTGTTACACACCAGGCAGATGGCACTTAGGTTAATGGAACGCTGGCATTCACTTCCCAACAGACTGCTAATTGAGTTCCGGTTCCAAGCGGTGAGCGGAACCGTCGTCCGACCTAAAGCACCACGACAGCAGGCAAACGAATGGTGATCTAAGCCGAAATTTACATCTGAAGCAAGTCTAAAGGAAGTGAAAATCTTCCTGTGCAATCCTGCAGCCACTCTCCTTGCATTGTTAAAATTGAGTTGTCAGAGGGTCTAATCACAATGTTGCTGAACCCAACTCCAAGCGACTCGCCGATAATACCACAAAACTGGCTAGCGGCTGATCATACAACGGTCGGTACGACCTATCATCCTAGCCACATGTGTCTCTGATCGTTGCTGAGAACTGAAACACTTTCCTACATGTACACGAATGCCCAAGGCCACCTCAGCGAAATCGCCGAGCTTCGGTTGTGTCAGGCAACAAACGCTTGGGATCTCGTCTTCATAATTAAGACTTGGTTGCACCCAGGGATTACGGATGCTCAGATTGCGATTCAGGGAAGGTCCTTGTTCCGACACCATCGTCCCAGCAGAGGAGGGGTGCTATCCTGTACTATCGTAACAACTTACTATGAGAACCACTGGATGATCAAGAGCCGCAGCTCACGCATTCGCTTTGGTGCCGTTTGCGTCTCAGACACAACGACAACTGCTTTGTGGCAGTTGTATATCGCTTCCCATCATCCACTGCGGACATGGACTTCCACCTAATATCATCAATGACTATATACTTATTCCCAACTTTCAGCCACGTTCATTTTTCTGGAGATTTTAACGTGTACGACTTAGAAAGCTATGCATCCCGCAGCGAAACATACAAGACAGAACTGCAAGACCTTATTGCAAGTATCCCGCTCTACAATCACATCAGCGCACCTACCAGGTACGGAGCTGATAACAAACCATCGGCACTTGACCTCGTCCTTACAAATGAGGAACTCATGATCGACAGACCATTTATAGACAACCCACTGGGATTAAGCGATCAATTCACCATACTTTATAAATATATGTGTGTTACGCTGAAAATGCCGAGGAACATATAGACCTAACAGGTACTATAACTCATTACAACATCTGAAACAACCCAGTTGAGACGACCGATTGGTTATTGCAAGGTGGCTCACTTGACAGCGCCTTGATTCAGTTTGTTGGAAGCTTCAGCAATCTAATCGCAACTGCCTCGGAAACAAAGAGGGTACGCTCCACCAATCCCTCCTCTTTCATCAGAAGTAGAACTCGCAAGCGCATGTCAATAAGGAATGCAGCTTGGCTGGGGACTCGTCTTTGTCCCGAAACCTGGAAATATTACGTGACCCAGCGCAACTACTGTAGCACGCTTGTCCGTCAGGACAAGTTGACTCACCAACAACATTTGGCCGGTAAATTTGCCAACAGCAAAAAGCTCCTATATAAGCAAGTTAACACCATCCGGAAACTGAAGCTCTGTATACCTCCACTTAACACGTCAGTCGGAGTGCCGCACAGTGCCGAAGAGGCAGCCAACCCCCTACGAATGCAGTATGCCCCAACCTTCCAAAGAAACTTCCACCAATGTTATGTACCCACATGCCTATCCCCAACTTCAGCACTCACTGACATTGACTTTACTGTCACAGCTGTGTTGAAGAAACTGCTCTCACCACACATCTACAGCTTTCCCGGAATCGACTATATTCCCCCCAATGGCGCTGTACGTAGCAGCAACAACGCTGACCAGGCCATTATCACATTTCTTCCAAACGTGCTTGAATAGACAGATGGTGCCTAGCATGTGGAAAGGTGGCGTAATCATTCCAATTTTCAAAAGCGGTAATCCCTCGGAACCCGCCAACTATGGCCCAGTGGTCCTCCTCCCTGTGCTCTCAAAGGTAATGGAGACAATCATGGCTGAGGTTTTAGTAGACCATCTAGAACGCCATAACATCATAGCACCTGAGTAACACGGTTTCCGCCAGCACCGTTCCTGCACTACCGACCTACTGATTCCACGCAATAGTTGGACGAAAGCGCTTGATACAAGCAGAGGGACAGACGTCATTTACCTCGAGTTCTCCAAAGCCTTCGATCAACTGGACCACCACATTCTACTTCACAGACTCGAAAGCTATGGGGGTGGTGCTCCAGTCCTTGGGTGGATCAGGAATTTTCTGCAGGATCAGCAACTGCAGGTCAGAGTTCGAAGTGTGCTGTCCGAGCCGACTTTATATGGAATGTGGAGTTCCATAAGGATCAGTTCTGGGGCCGAGTCTTTTACTCGTCTTTACTAACCAGCTTAAGCCTTTGAGTACTTCAGATTTCTTGCTGTTCCCTGAAGATGTTAATATGTGGCGGACGATCGCCGACCAAGCAGATCACGATACAATTCAGCAAGACATGGCCAGAGCGTACGGTTGGTCACTACACAATCTGCTGCAATTCAACTCGGGGAAACGTAAGGTGGTTCACGTCTGCCACCAGCCGAACATCACATGCAGGCTTGGAGATCATGTCCTAAAAGCAGTCACCCAGAAACGTGACCATGCGGTACTAGTTTAGACTGATCTGGGCTGCTCAGAACAATCTGAGAAGGCTTCAAAACCGGGAACCAACACGTCGAGATGCTGCGGTGAGCA